CCTCCAACCCACTATCAATATAAAGTTGAAATATTTATCCACAAGTTCTCATCCCTCACTTGTTGGAATTGCTTGGGAGGGGTCAAGTGTTAGCTCAGGAGCTGTCCACCGCTGCCGTGGGTGAACTCAGAGGCGAGCCTAGGGGACATGGCATGGGACACTAAACAGGGTTGCGTAGCATCTGCCTCAGAGAGACGGGCGACAGGGAGCCATCCAGTGTCTCAATATTTCCGTCCTCTCCCTCCCTCATCCCACCCCTAGGTACCTTGGCTTTGCCGCAGCCCCTGAAATAGATGAATCAGCAGGAAAATCTCCTGCCAGGCCAGAAAGCCAGAGAAATATGGAGGTGCGGGCGCTTCGGTGTCCCGCCCACGCCAGCAGCCTAGGGAGTATGGCTTCGAAGCAGCCCGGGCCACGAGGCTGTACATCTTTCCAAGCAGGCCAAGCGGAAAGAGGGGCGGGGGTGGGGCTGAGGGTGTGGGAAGAAGTAATTAGTTTGATGAATCTTCTTTTTAAGTCATTCTCTACATGGGGCTTTCGTGCCGTTATAGGCTCAGTGATGCATTCCCTGAGTTTTATGAATCCTTAAACATGGGCCATTTTTCAAGTGAGAGAGGTGAAAGTAATCATCGGTCGACACAAGCCCTAGGTGTCCCTGGACTGGATCAAGGACAGCTGATGAGGGCTGTAGGCCACAGAGGGCTTTGGAGAGTCAGGATGGCTATAAGCCTTTATTCTACCCACCTTGCAGCCAGAGGGGCTGTGCTGGGACACTGTGTCACATCCAATATGTCCCCACAAGCTGGCCTGGGGCTGGGATTATAAGGCCAACAAGGGGTGTGTCCTGCCTAAGCCCATAGTCTGGTGGAAGGTGTCACCCAGGGCCTGCATTTCCTGTAGGAAGACTGGGCCAGTAGGTCATCCACTACAGGGGGGTGACCGTGCCTGGCCACACTGCCTGTGGTAGATTGCAACATTGGCCCCTGATTCCTCCCTGGTCTTTGGTAATGCCTGACCATGCTGACCTTGCATTTGGGCACTGATTTGGTTTGGTGAGTGGCAAATATAAGGGAAGTCAAGGCTTCAAGGCGCTTACACCATGGTGCATATCCACTTGTTGCTTTTGGAATCTTCAGTCACCATGGGAACAAGCTGGGGCTAATCTGCTGGAAGCTGAGAGCTGGGGTCCATTTAGCCTTTTGTTATAGCCAGCGGCTGGCTAAAGCAGAGCTTCCTGGCTGACCGTGGCCATAGGCCAGGGTGGGGAGCGCTACTGTTTGGATAGGGTTCATCCCCCAAAGATTAAGAGCTGGTGTCTTGGTCCTTGCGTTTAGGTGCTGAAGTGGGTGGAGCTGTAGTGGGGTGCTGAAGTGGGGCCTCGTGGAAGGTAGGTAGGTCATGGGGGTGCTGTCTTTGAGGAGGTTAATGCTGTTCTCTTGGAAGAAGGTAGTTCTTGCAAGTACAGATTGTCATCCAGCAAGGGTGTCCTGTGCACTTGGCCCCTTCTGCACACAGGTATTTCCATTTGTGTTTTGCCACCACGTAGAGAGGCAGCCAGAGGTGCCTCTGCCAGAATGCGGCTGCTATTTTCTTAGACCCCACCCCCTGAATCATGGTCTCCATAAACCTCTTCTGTTTGTAAAATACCTGGCCTCCGGTATTTTTTATAGTAACACAAAATAGGCCAATACAAGGATGTAGTCAATAAAGGAAATGTTACTGAACAAATTCCCTCAGTGGGCAACATTCCTGCCAGTTGCCTCTGAGGGTCAGTGATGATCTTGCGCCAAAAGTTATTCCCCCCAAAGGGTGCAGAGGCTGGAGACTTTTCAGCCCTTGGTTGAGGATTGCTCCTGTGGAGTGGTGGCCAATGTTCTACACCCCACCTTGGGAGTGCAGAAGGTTCCAGAAGCCAGGGGAAGCCCTCAGGCCAGAAGGTACAGAGCCCGGCAGGTGCTCTGTAAAGTTTGATCTTGGCTCTTCCCCCTTTTGCATGAGGAAACCTGGAGGGCCGGCCTCAGTGACCTACTGTAGACTCTGAGCTAAACAGATGGTGCTGATTTTAAGCCAGTAATCCTTGAGGCACTTTGTTACACAGTGAAAGGTAGTTGACACCCTGTTTCAATGTTTGCAAGTTCTCAGGAGGAGCCCTCACCTAAACCCTAGTGGGGCTATTTGTGGTTGATCTTCGGTTCTTTTCTAGTCTAGAACAGTTTCCTCCTTTGGGCCCAAAGTTCTGCCGACAAAACTAAATTCACTTTCCATTTCCTTTGGAGGTTTTTTTTGACAATGGGTCTAGTGAAAGGAATGCAAAAGGCTTTGTTCTTCTTGTCTGTCCTTTGAGGTCAGCCTCCAGTGTGTCAGCTTGTTTTAAAAGGTGGGGAGATTTCCCTGGGGATTGCCCCCTGCCTTGGGAGCTGCCCAGGGAAGTGGTCAGTGCCCAGCCTGGCTGGCTTCCCCTCATGCTGGGCCGATGGACCTGATCCCCAAAGTGGCCCAACTCGGTATTTCTAGATTCTCTCTCCTCTCCGCTCACTGCCGGCCTGGAAGACAGAGGGTGTTCCCCACTTTCAGCCACCCCAAAGAAGAAAACCTGCAAGAGCTGGGTCCACTACACAGAGCCTCTTCTGTCTTTACTTAGCTGGAGACACCAGCATTCATGTTCCTAAAAGCAATGGCTCCCTTGGCTCCTTTTCTCTCAGTGGCCAAGATCTGTCCATTTCCCTTTGGCCCTTAGCTGTCCGTAGAATCACCAGGCCCTAGAATGCATATTTCTTGGCTGAAGCCAAACTGACAGCAACGGTTTGCAGGTCCTTGCTGAGCAAGGCTGCCCCACCCACTGGAGGAGGTGGGGTGTGTACAGGAGCCTGGCACCGTCTGCCTGTGCCCAGGCCACAGTGATGCGCCAGTAGCATGGGCAGTCAGTGCCCCTGACCATGACTGGTGAGCAGACACATTTTCCTCTCAGCGCCCTCCGAGAAGCACAGAGCTGGCTGCCGCATGCGGGCCTGGAGCCTGAGCACCAGCCCTGCCTAAAAGAGGCCTTTCCCCTGCACAGGGAGGGCTCTCGAGCCAGGGCACAGCAGCCGCAGCTGCTGGGCCTCCGGGTCATGCTCCAGGGGAGAAGCCCCACTCTGCAAGCATCTCGAGATGCGCATTTGCGAGAGAAATGGCCAAAGCTAATGCGGTACCCATCCCCACACAGACATTCCTGTGAAAAGAGCACATCACAGGGGCGGCCTATTAACACCGTACTTGCCTGACTCAACCCCAACAGCCAGATGAAAAAGGTGTGTGTGTGTGTGTGTGTGTATGTGTGTGTGCATGTGCTGGTGTGCTTGCACATAAGTGTGTTGCCTGTGTATTGTGAATGTGGGTAATTTGTGCATTGCATGTGCACAGATGCTCCTTGACTTGCATTCACTGTGTATCCTGATAAAACCTACAAGCTGAACATATCCTAAGTTGAAAGTGCATTTAACACACCCACCCTATGGCTCATCCCAGCTCAGCAGCACAGCGCCCTGCAGAGCATAGCTTATTCCCCTGGTCATTGAGGGGCTGATTGGGAGCCGTAAGGTGCAGTTCCCCCAGCTGCCTGTATCAGGAGAGGATCAGAGGGCATCCTGAGATGATCAGAGGCCGTGGTGTTTGCCCAGAGGAAGATGCAAATTCAACAATAGAAGTGTGACTTCTACTGAATGGTTATCACTTAATACCAACACAAAGTCAAACGATTTTAAGTTGAACCATCATAAGTTGAAGACCATGTGTGTTACACATGTGCAAGAGAGTGTTCTGTGTGTGCATGTGTATGTGTGCGTGTGTACATACTTGTGTGTGAGTGTGTCCATCCCTGGAGCCCCTAGGGCTGAGGGAGGATCTATTTTGGGCCTCAGTCAGAAACCTATAGCTTGGGAACAAGAGGTACAGTTGTGGCATGGAGCCTCAGGAGTGACTTAGCACTCCTAGGCCATCTCCAGATACTGGAGGGGCCGCCTCCTTCGGACCCCTTTCCCTTCCTATAGAGAGCCGAGGTGGTCCTCCACGCCTCCGCACCCCAGCTTACCTCCGCACAGCCTCCCTGTGTTTCCTAGGTTCCCTTTCCAAATACCACGCTTGTAGTCACGTGCTTATCTCTGGGGTTCCTCGGGGGTGGTGGGGACCCAGGCAAAGACAGTGACTTATCTAATTGATGAGTCAGGCCAAAGAACCAGGCGCAGGGGACCCAGCGCGCCCAGAAAAGGCACATCTTGGCCCCTGTGGTCTCCGATTCTGCCTGTAGCTGAGTGGGTAAGATCAATCCTGGGACGAGTGTCAGCAAGACAATTGTGGTGACAGATCTCAAGCCACCTCCACCCATGTAGCCTTTTCTGTAATAAAGGATATTTTTGAGCTCTACCTTTCAGATTTCTATGTCTAGTTCTCAACTGCTCGGGGAGGGGAAGAAAAGAGTGTTATTAATTGACTCTCCTAAAACTCCAATGTTTATCACTATATCCCCAGAACCTAGAAGTGCCAGGGACATAATAGGGACTCATTAATATTTGTTGAATAGAAAAAAGTGACAGCAAAATCCAAGCCCACGTCTGTTTTCCTCCTGGGCCGTGCTGCTTTTTCTAGACCTTTTCTGGGAAGGGAGGGCTGCCGAGAGACTGGAGGTTCTGGGGAGCAGCGAGGCCGCGGGCGCCTGGCTTTGCTGCCCTTCTGCACTGAGAACGTTTGCTGTGGGCCACAGCCCGGGGCCAAGGGCAAGGTCAGGAAGCCCTGCCCCGGGGCAGCCAGGGCTTGGCTGGGGAGGTGCAAATCCCTCTGCGTTATCCTGCCAGCCTCTTCTAATCACAGCGCTGTGTGTTTTGACTGAGCGGCTCTACCTGCCTCTCGGGATTGATGTGAAGATTAATGCCTGTTTAGCAAATTACAGCTTCCCCAGCACCTCCCGCTCCTGGGAGAGAGGGAGCTGTGGAAACGGAAAATAAAAACAAACTCACCGCTCCATGTCAAGGCTTGGTCACAGCAGTGACAGCCCAGCTCAACTCTACAAAATGTGGAGCCTTAGCAGAGCGGCGGGGGGAGGTCTGGGGCCCACCAGGAAAAGGTGAGGGGTGCCAGGGCCACCCTGGGGCCTGCGGCAAGCAGGGGCTGGGAGGGAGAGCAAGACGGGGCAGGAATGTTTGGGAAAGACAGCAAGGGCAGTGTGTGGCCTGGGCGTCTGTTCTAAAGGCACGAGCAAGAAGGAGGGGCGTCCTGTCTGCCACACACAGGTTCCGTCACCGTCCAAGGCAGGTTAATGCTTCCCATTGCGTTCTTTCCAGAGGCTTGGAGGGGGCACCTGGAGCATCGCGACTACTTTTGCTGGGCTTGAGAGCTTGAGATTGTGCCAAGTGCATGCTCAGCTGGTTATGGGTGAGTAAACAGCTGAGAGAGAAGGCTGGGAGATGGGTCTGAAGGGAGAGAAAGTGCAGACGCCCCCACCCCCACTCCTGTGTGCGCCAGCTGAGCAAGCCGGGTGACCTCAGCCAGCGGCTTTCTTGTGGCTTGTTCGCAGGGCAGGCTCTCAGAGAGGTCTCAGCCAGAGATAGACAGGCGTTAGGAGCTAATTCCTCAGCTCCCATATCCCCCTTCGTGAGGTAGGAGGCTCTGGTGTGCTCTCCACAGTGTCCCGGAGGTGCCAGGATGCCCCGCAGGGCGGAGCCCTAGTGGCCCCCAGGGGAGTGACCTCCTTGAAACAAGCCCTTGTTTCGCATTCTTCCCTCCCTTACTACACTGTTTCTCCCAAATAAACCCGTTATGTTCCCTTTTGGGTCTCAGGAGCTGCTTCTGAGGGAGCCCAAACTAGGTCAGGAACAATGGAAGGGGAGCTGTGGGGATGGCTGTGAGGGAAAGGGCTGAAAATGCCTCGGGGCGTGGAACCCAGCCTTGAGGCTACCGCTCCCCTCAGAGAAGAAAGGTGTTCCCTCTTGTCTACCAAAGCCTGCGCTCCTTTTTTCGAACTCCCAGCTCCACCTCCCTCCCTGATGAACCTTCTCTCCTTTTCCAGAACAGTTACAACGTGCTAACGGAACTTTCCCACCGGGGAGGGAAAGCCTTCCTGAAGACAGGCCTCTGGGTGGGGCCCAGCCAGAAGTGCCTCTGGCTGCCGACCCCTGGGCTGGGCCTGGGCCAGGGACACAGAGCTTTCCCCAGGGCTCAGGCCCCTCCTTGCCCCCTCTACCCCCCTCACTCTCTCACAGGCAAGGCCAGGGTTCCGGAATCCTTAGATTCCTAACGCAAGAGCAGCCTCCCACAGATGCGTGGCCCTTGGCCATCTGGAGGACAGATTTTGAAGGGGCCACCAGCAGGCTTGGTCGTGGTTGTCTCGGAGGACTTGGGTTTCCTTTACTTTAGTTCCTGTCCCCTGTGCCAGCTCGGATCTCTGGGTGCCCAGGGAAGAAGTGGAAAGCACTGCACCCCAAACATAAGCTGCTGACTGTGTGGAGGGGCTAGCCTCTGGCGGCACCCTCAGTTCCAGGGTGCTTTGAGGGACCCAGTCTGGGTGAGCAAGGAGAGGCCCCTGGAGCCCAGGGGAGGATGTTCAGAGAGTCACTCTCATTCTGCCTCTGCACTGAAGCACAGGAAGTGAGGAAGGGGGACAGGAGCCTGTGGGTGAGGAAAGGGGGACAGGCCCATGGCCGGGGAGGCGGCATGGAAGTGAAGGAGCCCTCTGTGTGTACCAGAGCTGTCTCACATGCCCCCCATGAGGTAGGTCACATTCCCCCCGTGTGGGGGCATTTGTGCCCATTTCACGGACAAAGAAACAGAGGCATCTGAGCTGAACTAGCAAAGCCTCAAAGTGAAGCCATGCCTTGACCTCAGGTCTTGCTGGTTTCGGAGCCCACACTCATTCTTTCGGTACAAAGCCTCACTGTGTCCCTGTAGAGATCTGGAGGGCCAGTTGCCAGGTCCTGTTCGTGTGGGCTGCAAGTTGCTTGGTGTCTCAGAAGCTCGGTTTCCTCCTCCAGAAAGGGAAATGAGCAGGACTGTGCACCTTCCACTGCACCCTGGATGTGCAGTGGGTTGGGCAGCCTAGCAGATAGCTGGCCTGTAGAGGCCGAAGATGCAAGCCCCAAATGTGGCCATGCTGTGACTCCCGGGAGCTGGAGTAGCTGCTTTCTGATGGATCAGGCTGTCCAGGCCCCCTGTCTCCCAGCGCAATTCCCAGACACATGTGTACCAGCTCTCTGTGATACTGGGTGCCATTCTGGGTGCCAGCTCTGTCCCACTAATCTTTTTCTAGGTAATAAATGACCCGAAGCTAGGTGGCCTCAAACAGCCCCTGTTTCATCACTGTGAAGTTTCTTAGGTCGGAAACTCGGGCACGGTTTGACTATACGACTCTTCTCCGCGTCCACAGGGCACGTATCAGTGGTGTTCAGCTGGTGGATGGATGGTTCTAGGGGCTTTACTTTTGTAGCTGGAACCCAGGCAGAAACAGCTGGTGGGCTAGGCTTGCCCGGTCCTGTCCACCACTAGGGCCTTTCCAACATCCAGCTCAGGGGAGCGGGGCGCCTCACACCGTGACCCAGGGCCCCAACAGTAAGCTCTGGCGAACAAGAGCTTCTTCTGCAGGGCCTCTTAGGAGCCAGCCTTGGAGTTGCCCCTAAGGCTCTTTGGTCATCCTGCCTTGGCTGCCGCAGTCACAGTCACCCTGATTCAAGGGAAAAAGACATTGACTCCTCCTTTCATTGGAAGGAGTGTCAAAAACTGAGCCTATGTTTCAAAAGCATCATAACTGAGCTGGGGGTGTAGCTCAGTGGTAGAGCATGTGCTTAGCACGCACAAAGCCTTGGTCTCCATCCCCAGCAGTGAACAAGCACGTACATAAATAAATAAAATGGATGCATCAGCGTCATAATGGACCATCGCAGCACCCGTAGCCCTCCAGTCCCATGCCTTCCTCCCTGTCTCCTCTGCAGACAGCCGCACTCCCACAAGTCAGGCGGTCAACTTTTACCTCCCCTCTCAGCAACGATCTGAAACATTCATTCATTGAAAGTGTCAGGGTCTTCACAAGTTACTCCCTGGAGGGGCATTTTCACTTTAAAATGGTGGCCCCAGAATGCGGTGGCACAACCAAAGGAATGCATTGCTAATGGTGGAATTCCAGGCATTTACCACAGGCCAGTAGGGGATATATTTTTCGGCCAAGGGACTTTCCTGCTGAAGAAAGCTGGCGGTTCAGTCCACCCTGAACCCATGAACAGTGTGAACTGGCCGCCGAGCTCTACAAGCAGCCTGGACAGCATTTTCCGCACCGCATGGGGGCTCCCCAAGCCTCACTGAGAATCAGCACTCAGGTGATGCGCCAGGGGAGGGGGTGATGTTTCTGGGTCAGGCTGGTTGTTGGCTCAGAGCTGTGCAGATTTACTGCTCCACGGTGTAAAGGGGCAGATTAAAGAGAGTGGTGTGCCCAGAACCCATGTTTGTTTGAAATTTAAAATATTTATGTTGCATTGGCTCCCTCAGAGCATTCTCCTTTCTTTGCCTCGTTCTTATATTTCTCAGCACTCGCAAATGTATGTTAGAAACAAGGAACGTGTAAAAAAAAAAAAAAGATTATAGGATAACAATCTGAGCTAGATAATGCTAATTTCAAACAAAAGGAAAAAACCCACACAGGTCCATTACACACACACACACCACCACCACCACCACCACCACCACCACCAGGACTTTGCTTATCTTATTGTTTTCTTGCTTTAGCTTAGCCTGGTGACAGGATGAAGTGTGGAATGGGTGTGGCCACTATATCTCAGTTCAAAAAATGTAGATGGCAGCAATTTCTACGCATGTTCCTTTTAACATGCCTCCCACCTGGACTCCAACCTTTTAAACCAAAGCTTGTACTTAGTTCCATGGGGAGGGGTGGGGAGACTTGTGGGAGGGTCTGAAGAGAGGCACTGAAGACATGAGGGGTGATTTTAAGTGAGCACTTACCTTGTGCCGGCCCTGCTCTAAGTGTTTGCTGTGTGTTGACTTCATTTATCTGTCACCACAACCTGGGAGGCAGGAACCAAAGTTGTCTCTCCCTAACAAACGTGGGCGCTGAGGCACAGCAAGGTTAAATAAACAACCCAAAGCTGCAGAGCTGAGAAATAGTGTCACCAACTGGCTGATGGCTCTTTCTCTTAATTTGGATGGAAATCTTGAAAAGGCAACATGTACCTCTCACTAACAACCCTCAGCTTTGCCTGCGAGCAGCTATCCTCCAGAACTCTGTCTTTTGGGCACCAGAGACAGTGACTCCTTGCATCTGTCCCTTGCTGCGTAGGCTGCCAGCCACCCTCTGTGTTACCAGCCCTGGCCGTTGGTGGCTTTTGGTGTTACAAGCTTTTAGCATACCAGCTCAGCCTGCCCTAGTCGAAGCAGAAATTGTGAGTGGGTAAAATGCACCACCCAAAGAGGAGGCTTTTATTATGACTTAAGCTGTGGCATAGTAGGAACGAGGCAGGGATTGACCCCCTGAGGCTTGAGGAAGCCGCTTAGAAGAAGAAAGAAGCAGGGCTGTGCGTGTGCAGTGTTGGACTTCCCATTCAGCTGTGGGCAGTGGAGGGGCTGCACCAGATCTGACTGGGGGGCGCTGCGGAAGGGTGGGATCATCCACAGAAGCTTCGGGGCAGAATCTGCTGGGGTGGACCTGTGACTGGTGCCTATGACAGCCAAAGCAAATTATCTCCTGGAGTGGCAGGGACATCTGAAGTCTCCGTGGCCGGCTGCGAGGTATTTGGGGCAGCCACAGGTAAAAAATAAATAAGGAATACCTCTCGGGGAGGGAGCATGGGGAGCTTCTGTCCTGTCTTAGGGGCAGTGATGGGACTTAAGCCCCAGCAGTCTGGTCCCAGGGCCTGTTAGTCCAACAGGGCACCTATTGATTCTGTTTCTCTGCCTTCAGCCTCGAGTTCTGGGACAAATTCATATCAAATTCAGCTCAAACAGGGAGGGGCTGTGCTGTCAGGTGCAGAAGAATTAGCTAGGAAAGCTTGCTGGGCGAGTCCAAGAGGGGCTCTGCTTTCAAGGGCTGGGGACTCCAAGCTGTTTGGGAAACAAAATTGAAGTCCTGTTTGCAAAATCTGCCTGGACAGTAACAACAGTGAGCTCGGTCCTATTCCTGTACCATTCAGACCCCGTGGCCACCAGGGGGGCAGCAGGGGCTTCTTTCCCTAGACCAAATGCTTCTAGGAATATGTCTCTCAAGCACACAAAAGCTGCCAGTGTCAGTGCACAGGCTTCGTTCCGCAAACAGTCTGGTGTTTGGTTGAGAGTTATTTATGGATGTTGGCACGGTTGAGTGCAAAGCAAAGCACGTTGCAAGGAGCCAGGAAACCTGGGGCCCAGCCTCGGCTCCACCGGAACGTGCTGTGGGATCCTGGGCATGTGTTTTCTCTCTTTGAGCTTCTGTCTCTTCATCCAGAAACTAAGAGATTGGATTATTTGATCTCCAAGTTCCCAAGAGGCCTGAAATTATAACGATTCTTTGATGAATCAGAAAAGTAAGCCAACAAAACTTCTAAACCCCAGGAACAAAAGCAGGAGAGAGAATAAGAGAGCATGAGGGGATGAAGTCAACCCAGGCCAAACTGAAAACAGAACAGGGAGATGGACTTGTGGGATTTCCAATCTGCAGAAGCACTGTGACCTCCCAGAATGCGTCTCTGCCTTGTGGGATTATGAACTGAAATCCCCTTAAGGGGGAAAAGTCTCTCATTGCAGACTAATTTCCACCTGGAAAGATTTAAATGCAAATAGGAATTAGTTCATGGACTTAAGTTCATACTAACATGTAAATGATGGACACAGGATTTAGTCAGAGTAAGCTTTGAAGGATGGGGGCCTGGACAAGGAGCCTCAAGACGGAGAAAAGAAAAAGCACTCCAAAGTTCTCTTTGGTGAGGGCTATGAAAGAGTCCAATTACACCATCAGTCTACACCTCAAGGAGCCGTATAGGTGAGGTTTCCAGTTTTGGGAACTAGAGCGGGGAGAGGTGAGTTCAGCTGAGGTGACGGGGAGGGACTGAAGGAGCTGGATCTCTCGAGCCTACCTGTGCCCAGGTGACCAGCCAGAAAGGTGACCTTGTTTTCTCTGGGGCTGGGGAGGGAGCCATGTGTCCAGCTGGCTGGGAGCCCGAGGCAGAGGGGCACGTGGAGGGAAGCCAGGATGTGCTGAGCTAGCGGGCTGGGCACTGGCCGTGCGCAGCTCTGCAGACATTTTGTACCTTCGATGTCCTCACCTTGTAGGAAAGTAGTAGCTTGTGTTCTAACCAGCTGTCCCTGGCCGTGATGTTTCCCCTGATTTACTAAGGGAGGAGGCCATTTGTTTCTCAGTGCAGTCACCGCGAGTGCGTCGCCCAGTGATGGATGGAAGAGGCATCGGCACAGAGGCGCTGGGGATCCTGGCCCTGATGCCACCAAGGCTCCACAGAGGAGAGACAGAGTGGGTGGAGGAGGGGTAGAACCGTGTGTGCTCGTCGTTAGTCTAGAGGCAGGCGACCGCGCCACCAGCGCAGAGGGCAAGACACAGCCGCGGACGGCTCGGGAAATCTGTAGCTGTGTCCCGTTAGTGTGTGGAGGCCAGGGGCAGAGCACCCGGCCCTCGGACTCCATTTCCCAGCTGCCCTTTCTCAGCGTCCTTATGAAAAAGGCAGGAATCGTTCCTGCTGCGGTGAGACCAGACACCAAGACCTCCCCACAGCGCTTGGCACACTGCGAGCACTTCTGTCCTGCAGCGAGGTCGCTGAGGATGGGACCTGGCGCCTTAGGCACTCCTGCTGTCCTTGCCCGGGTCCCAGCCCCATCCTGCTTCTGGACTTTGAGTCTCTTCTTTCTGCTCCTCTGAACCCACTGGGAAACCTTGGCTTTGCCGCAGTCCCTGCGTGAGCCCGGGGTCACAGTATTCATCCAGCGGCTGAGGCTGGTTTCCAGGCAACATGGCTCTTTCGGGAGCACTCTGGCCGGTGGGCAGAGGTCTAAGGTCTGAGGCTGAAGTCAGCCCTGAGCCTTGCGCCAGTGCGGCGGCCTGAGCAAGGTTGGGGAGTCGCCAGATGGGCAGGTAAGCCTGGCGAGCCCAGGCCCCAGACTGCCTCCAGCAGGGGCGACCATGGGGACGGGTGCCAGGGGCACGGCGCTGCCTGGCTGAGGAAAGAATGTGCCTGTGAGACTGGAGGAGCAGGGCCCCAGGCCTGATGGGGTGGGCTGGGGGGTTCGGAGACAGGATACCTGAAGGTATGCAAGAGTTGGGGTGGCCCTCCTTTCTGTCCCTCTGGAAATGGTGGGGGAATGAAGGGCCAGCACAAAAGCAGAAGCTTATGTCCAAGATGGTGGTGGGGTTGCTCACAAAGGTAGTATGACAGCCCATTTCTTGTGACCTGGGTTCAAGGCAGGAGGGGCCAGAGCTGGCCTGTGTCACTAGCAGCTGTATTGCTCTGCAGCCACCACTCTGTCCTCTCTAAGGGATGGATTGGGCCCGAAGCCCACAGAATGGGCAGGGTCCTCTGGTGAGAGATGAGGCCTGGGGAGGAAAGGCACTTTGCAGCTAGGTGACGAGACAATGTTAATGCAGGGGCTATTGAGAGAGGTGGGAGCAGAGAGAGGGCACACCCAGCTTGCGCTGGTAAAGCATGAGGGGGTTAGCCATGGCAGGAAGCCGCTGCCACCCCTAGGCCAGAAGGGAGGGGGGCACTTCTAGAACCTCAAGAGAGTAAATACAGGGGAAGGGAAGGGCCCCCCAACAGGTGCGGCGGCCTTCAGCAATGGGACACAGACAATGGAAGGTGGCCCGCTATGCGGGGAACTGGAGGAATACCTTCTCCAGTCCAGACCTCCTGCTGGCTCTCCTGAAGTGAGAGGCCCACCCAGGCCATCCACACAGGTCAGCCTCCTGGCATCAGAATAGGCGCAGCAGGCAAGAGCAGATCTGGAGGAGCGAAGAGGAGCCCGCCCCAGGGCAGGCATGGGGCAGATGGGAGGGCAGAGCTTCTGGTTTGCAGACTGGCTGGGGAGGGAGCAATGAGCTAGCAAAGTTGGCGATGGCCTCTCGCTGGTACTCCAACTGTGCTGGGGTCATTCCAGTGCTAAGAAAGGGCCCTTCTGTCACGTGCAAGTGGCACCACGTGACCGGCGGGAAGAGTCTGCCCTCAGGTAAGCTGAGTTGTCTTTCCTTGTCATACATGGGTGCTGTTGCCTGAGCCTGAGCTGGGCCTTAGTTCCTCTTTGGGTCAAGCTGAGCTCTCGTGGTTTGAGGTAATTCCTTTCCATCCTTCACACACACACACACACACACACACACACACACACACACACACACACACACGCGCGCGCGCGTACCCCTTGCCACTTCCTCTGGAAAGCTTCCCTGGTTACTCCCCCAAGGCCGGGGTAAATGCCCATGTCGCTGTGCCAAAAGTAAGTGGCCCTGCTCTGTCTCTGCTGGGTCACATCATTCATTGTCCTGATAGCGTTGTGTGAGATCATCACAAGCCCCTTGAGGGTCTAACCCGGAAAGCCAGAGCCTGGATCAGCTCCAGATGCCCCACGGTGCTTAATAAACCGCCATCAACACAGGCACTGTCAGGAATTTATCAGGAAGCACTGAGGTGACCTCAACTTTTCTCCCAGAGGATCCTGTGTTTTTTATTTGGACCCCCCCAACATGAAGGCCATGGGGTGCTATGGTGTCCTGCCTTAGGAACTCCACACGCAAAGCAGATGTCCCCGGCGCGGAACTCTGCTGCCCTGGTTTATGTGGTCACGCCTGCAGAATGAAAGAAGCCTCCCGTGGTAATATAATTTCAACAGCACAGTGGTAAGAGCAGTGAGAGGCGATCTCCAGCCTCCTATTTATGAAAACAATAGCTCAAGTTTATGGTATGAATGGTAACCACAGCCACTTCATTCCCCTCCAGCCACCCTCTCGCCATACACACAGACACCACACACAAGCTCTGAAATGCACACACACTCCAATAGACACAAGGGTTCAGAGACACCTCTGTACACACAAGTTCATAGACATGTATGTGCGCACATGTGCACGTAACACACACACACACACACACACACACACGCACACACACACACCTGCATTGCCATGAACACATAGAGCCCTGGTTTGGGAAAAGGATGCATACCAAGACGAACTGCCCTCTAGGAAGCAATCTCACTGGTACTGCAATGAAGACTCTCAATCACATTCTGGTGTTTTCTGGCTCTTTACTGGACTCCGTGGGGTAAAGGAGAGAGAGGGAGAGGGAGAGGGAGAGGGAGGCGGGGAGGGAGAGAGAGAGCTTTGCAGAGGCCTTTCTTGGCTCTGTGTTCCCACTCTTGAGGCTCCTGGTTTGGGTGCGTTGGGGTGCTGGCTGCAGAATAAAGTAAAAATAAATCTCTCAGTGCCACCCCAGCAATGAGAAGATCATCTCCCACCGCTTCCAGCAAGGTGGGAGAAATGCATTCACCTGTGGGGCTGACAGCAGGGCCAGGGACTCTACCATTTTATGCGCCTCAAATTCCAGCTTATAGCCTTGGCCCAGGGTCCTACTCACAACATGGGCTCTGGTTGGCCGAGTCCTCTGTTTCCAGGATGGAAAGGGAGTTGTGCCACTCAGGGTTCAGAGAAAGAAACAGAAATTGCTGCAGAGATTTCACGCAGAAAGGGATTTAAAATGAGGAAGTCAGTGCTTACAGAATCATCAGAACTGTAGTCTCCCGAGGCTGCAAATGACTGAGCTGGGTGACATAAACAACAGAAACTGATTCTCTCACTGTCCTGGGGTCCAGAAGCCCAAACCAAGGTGTCAGCAGGGTGTACTCGCTCTGGAGGCTCCATGGCACGAGTGCCACAGCGGGCACGCGGAGTCCTCTGGGTTGCACGTGAGCCGAGTCGCCCCGGCAGCTGAGCATCGGGCAACAGTTGTTTCTTGTAAACTAAAACCTCAGTATTCAGATTTAATTGCAGTGTAGGCAGTTTGTGATAAATAAGTGGGTTTAGGGTTGCAGTTTGGGCACTCGGTCTCTTAAAGTTTTGCCATCACTGCTCTAGGGGAAAAACCTTTCTTTCTTGCCTCTCCCAGCTTCCGGTGGCTGTCGCCCTTCCTCATGGCTCCATCACTCCAACCTCTGCCTCTGTGTTTTCTCCTCTTCTGTGTGTTATGTGGATTTGGGACCTACCTGGGCCACTCAAGAAGTTCTCATCTTAACATCTTTAACTTAATTACATTGCAAAGACTTCCACCAAGTAGGGTCACATGCACAGGTTCTGAGGATAAGGACATGGACAAACATTTGGGTGCTTGTGAAAACTCTAGACTGGGTCCCAGGAACGATTCCCCAACCCTACAGGACTGACCCATCAGAGGCGCTGCCATCTCTGCCACACACAGGAAGCCATCCTGGGAGCAGCTGTGTTTGAAAGCCCACTGCTGAAGCTGTGAGCCTAGAAGGAGGAGGTAGCTCTGCAGCTGCAGCTGCTGTGTCCGGACACGGACAACGCTGGTGAGTGGACCCTGGAGCACACAGGCCTTTGGGAGCTGCTGGGCACAGTTGATCACCCAGAGTAGATAGTTGTGGTGGGCTCTTGTTTATTACTCGCTTAGCAGTTACTTCTTTAATTTCCAAGAAAACTCATAATTTTCATTAAGAGAGTGCTTTAGTCCATTTATGGTGCTATAACAAAATACTACAAACTGGGTACTTCATAAAGAACAGAAAGTTATTTTTCATAGTTCTGGAGGTTGGGAAGCTGAAGACCAAGATGCTGGCAGGTTTTGTGCCTAGTGAGGAATGCTCTCTGCTTCCGAGGTGGTGCCTTACTGCTGCACCCTCAAAAGGGAAGGGTGCTGTGTCCTTACATGGCAGAAGGATGAACCCACCCTTTCAGGCCCCTTTATGAGGTGCTAATCCCATCCATGTGGGCACAGCCCTCATGGCCTAATCAGCTCCTAAGTGGCCTTATCTCTTAATACTATTTCATTGAGGATTAAGTCTCAACACCAATTTTAAGGTGGACACAAATATTCAAATCATACTAGGAGCTGCCCTGTAGCATCAGTCTATGGTTGTGTAACATGTTTTTCTGTGACCTCAGGACTCCAAACGATAACAATTCATTATTGCTCATGGTTCTGTGAGCTTCCTTGGCTCAGCTGGGTGGTTCTTCTGCTTCATGGGGTTCCCCTGTTCCACGCAGTCCCCCTTTGGTGCTGCAGTCATCAGGAGGATTACCTGGCCTGGGCTTTCCAAGAGGGCATTATCCACATGGCTGGCAAAAAGTGCTGGTCCTAGCTGGAAAATCTGTGGTGGGCACTGGCCAGAGTACCTTGATCCTCCCTCACAAGGGCCTCTCCACATGGCCGCTGGAGCTTCCTCAAAGCATTCCATGAAGGTGGCTTTTTGTTGTTATTTTGACACAGGACTTCACAGTATAGCCCAGGCTGGCCTTGAACTTGCAGCGATCCCCCTGCCTCAGCCTCCTGAGTGCTGGAGTTATAGGTGTGTGCCACCGTACCTAGCTGAGGGTGTGTTTTAAACATGGGAAAACGGAATCCACAGATTTCTTAAGGTCCACTCTTGAAATTTACATAGTGTCATATCCACCATGTTTTACTGGTCAAAAGAAGGCACAGGGCTCACCTGTGTTCAAGGGAGCAGGAAATGGACTGTATCTGTGGAGTGAGTGGCAAAGCCTTTGCAGCCACCTTTAATCTCCTGATCACCCCTAAGTACCCTCAGGCCACGTGGTTGTGGTGGAGCTGACAGCTCTACCTGGAGTGCGGTGTGACCCATGAGAATATCTTTTCTATAGCAACAGTGACTGGGCCAGGAATGGCCACATGATCGAAGTCAAGCTAAAGAGGCAATCAGATTCACTCTGGAGATTTCTGTTAGAGACTTCAGGAAAATGTGCTCTTGATTTTCCATGCCAAACTTCAACCAGAGCAAAATGAGAAGATGTGACCACCATCTTGTCATCACCAGGGAGCCCGAGAATGAAGCCAGCAACAGAAGACAGCCAGAGCCGGGAGGAAAGAAAGGAAGAAACTGAGTCTGGATGACACAGTTGAAGTCCTGAATACAGCAAAGCCTTTGGCTGCCACGCGCATCCCCAAACTGGACTGGCAATATCCCAGGGGCACAGGCAGGGGCTGTGCCTGTCGTTTCCTGCGACTCACTGCAGGTGGTGAGTTAGGACGAAAGCAACCCTCAGCTGGAATTTGACCAGCCATCTGATCATTTGGTAGGAAGCAGATACAAGGAAGGTGATGTAATCTGTTTCCGTAGACTTGGAAACATCCCCACTCTATCTTCAGGCCCTCTGATAGGCATTTTGCATGCAGTATTCGCTCAAGACAGGTGCAATGATATTCTCTTGGCAGAAGCTGCCAAATTTCTGGGTGGATGAGGCAGCATGGTCCTCTGAAAACAGGGAGGTGACAGAGGACCCAATGGAACTCCAAATTAGAATACTGCTCAGGAGATGCCAGGAGGCTGCACTGGCCTTGTCACTGCCAAGGCGTGGAGCCCACTGTCTTAAACTATGTATCTGAGTATTTCGAAGATCACTATGCTAATTAAGGCATCCTCTGGGGTCAACTTAGATATGGATATTTGACGTGGACTATGGATTCTGTATCAGTCACTTTCCTATCACTGGAATGAAATGCCCAATACCTGCAGTTTAGGGAAGAGAGGCTTATATTGACTCATAGTTTCGGAGGTTTTCAGTCCAGGGTAGGCTGGCTCCAAGGCAGAACCATCATGGCGGAAGGGTGTGGCAGAGCACAGATGCTTAGCTCATGGCAGCCAGGAAACAGCAGAGGAACAATGCCACGGAGGAAGGGGCCAGATATAGTATTCAAGGTGATGCCTTCGTGATGCACCCAGACACACCCAGCAGTGTGCGCCACCCATCCCCTGGGTGGCTGCCAGACTGGTCAAGGGAGATACAATTAAGCTTAACTATCACAGATTCCTATTAGGGTTTTTCAAATGCTAACTAACCACCCAAAGTAAGTATACTTACACACACACACACACACACACACACACACACACACTTTGTACACATAGAAATGTTTTAGAGTGAATTATCATATAGATAATACAGTACCATTCAGGTGGGATTAGACATCACATACAGCCCTTCTTTGGTTTCACAGGGAAGGAAAAGAAGGAACTAACAGTGACATCTCTGGGCTGATCAAGGGAAGTTCTGTGATGCACAGGGGCTTAGGGATCTCAGAGGACCACGGAGAGGCCCCAAGCTGTCTCAGAACCCTCTGACTCATAAAGAAAAGTATGCGCTGATGCCTATGTGCACTTGGGGTGTGAAGATGAGGAGAGGTGGCAGCTTTTATGAGATTTTGAAAGGGTCCTGAGGCCCCCAGACGTGAGGAAGCCCTGAACCATGCATGGCTGGGGAAAGAAGGTACAAAGAGGCCCTGCTCAGCAACAGCCTTGGGAAGACTCGGCCATTGCCCACCGGGGCAGCTCTAGGGTGCCCGCACTTGTGCTCCACAAAGAAGCCTTCCGCACAATCACGCGGAGTCTGAGGCGAGTTAAAGGCTGAGCACTTCAGAAGCAGCAGTGTTTATTTTATTTAAAACATGTTCAGTTATGATAAAAACAGAAGTAAAGCTTACCATTTCAACCCTTTTCCAGTGTACAGTTCAATAATGTTAAGTATATTCACATCACAGTGAAGTAAATCTCTAGAACTTTTTCATCTTGCAAAACTGAAACTCTGTACCCAGCAAACACTAATCCCCCATTGTCCTTCCTCCTCCATCCCTGGAAACCACTGTTCCTCTCGTTTCTGAGAATTTGACTACTATGAATTCTTCATAGAAGAGGAACCAGGCAGTGCCTGGTTTACTGCACTGAGCACAAGGCCCTCAAACGTTACCTGAGGTGTTGTGTGTGACAGGATTTCCCTTGTTTTTAAGGCTGAATAGTATTCCATTCTATGTATTGTCCACCTAAATTGAGCGACAGACAGATGACTGTCTGAAGCAGAGTGCCTTGGGGAATGACAGGGAATTGTAATCCACGCTGTGGTGGGCGACAGGGACAGCCGGTGAGTGGAGCAGAGGCGAAGCTTTGAAAGATGAAAAGGACAACATATACTAGATACTGTGAAACAGGAAGAAAATACTGGATTGGGAAGGGGAACAGGGGCAGGGGGAGGAAGTAAGGGAAGGAAAAAAATGAGAAAAGCAGAAAAAAGTGGAAACAAAGCTTTGTAAATAAGGAGGGGAACAGGAGTTTAAGGGAGGACAGGGGAATGGGGGAAAAAGGAATTGTGGTAAGTCATGTACAGGTACAAAGTCCCTATGATGAAAGTGATCATTATGTATATTTAAAATGTACCGATAAACGTAATGAATCAAATATGATAAAAAGGAGTCAATCTTCCACGCAAGCTGTTTGGGGACAAAGCCTCGGCTCATCGGGGCACACAGCCGTTGCTAGGCGAGTGGTGCCCGCTCGCTGGGAATACTGGGGTTTTGCTGAATTCCTTGCATAGCTTCTGTCACAGGCCTCTGTGCGGGAGGGCCCCTCCTTCGTGGTCACCTGGCTCCACGTTGTCAATTTGACACAGCGATTCCATTTTGATATGAATATTGAATGATCACAGTATTTACCATATTTTGTTCATCACCAGTGGATATTCAGGTACTGCTGCCAGAACGTGGGTGTGTAAATATTTCTTTGAGATCCTACCTTCAACTCCTTTGGGTACATACCCAGAAGTGGGAGTGCTAGATTCTTAATTTCTTGAAGAACCTCCATACTGCTTTCCATAGTGGTAGAGGCAAGTGTCTCTAGCTAAGCTAGAGCAGGATGACTCAGAGAGTAACACACAGGAATTCTAGTCTCCTTTAAAATACTTTTGCTGAGCTGGGCATGGTGGCATACGGCTGTAATCCTAGCTACTCAGGAGGCTGAGGCAGGAGGACTGCAAATTCCAGGCCAGTGTGGGCAACATAGCAACACTCTGTCTCAAAATTTTAAAATAAAGGGCTGGGAATATAGCTCAGTGGAAAGGTCCTGGGTTCAATCCCCAGTACCACTCCCCCACAAAACTTTGTTGTACATGAAGGGAGTGCTAATTTCTTTAAGTCACTCAGCTGTGAGATGGGTGAGCACAGTGCCTTCGTCAGAGGGTGTCATAAGGGCAGAAAGGAATGCACAGTTGTGCGTATTTAACAATTACTGCTTTAGTGTGTTTTTTTGTTGTTGTTGTTGTTATTTTATTTTTTATTTTTTTTATTTTAAAGATAAAAGGAGGGAAACATTAACAGACATACAACATTTTACAACATATCACAAGCACAGTACAGACAATACAGAGTTACAAACTGCTTTAGTGTTTAAACCGTGAGCCAAGCACTGTTGTTCCCAAGTAGCAACTCTCAAAACAACCAAATGAAATAGACACTGTTATGTTCAGACTTGGGAACTGAGGGACAAAGACGACTAAATAACTTGTCCAAGTTCTCAGAGCTGATCCAGGCCATCAGGCTCTAAGTCTGGCTCACGACCATTGTCACTACCCCTTTCTGGGGAGCAGGATGGAGGCATGGGAGCTGCCGAGGGCCCAGAGGCAGCAGGAGCTGGGCAAGGAAGGGAATAGCAGTTGCCTGGGGACCAGGCATGGCTGAGAGTCCTCAGATACATCCTTTGGGCCCTGGCCTTCCTTGGAGATTGAGGCAGAGAACCTAGGCCCATTTGATGATCCAGGTGGGCATGGGTAAGCATTTAGTAAATAAGAAGTCTGGTCAGATGTTAGTCCCTCTTGGGCACTTCTGTCTGCATCCCTCGTTGGAACTGCACACGTTTTGCAACAAAGTCAAAATCTGACATCCCGGGGGCTGGGATGCAGCTCAGTGGTAGAGCACTTACTTAGCACGTGCGAGGCTCTGGGTTCCATTCCCGGCACTGCAGAAAGAAGGAAGGAAGAAAAGTGACTTCCAAGTTCTGTTCACAAGCAAGGGAGGACCAGATTCTTCTCCCAGTGTTTCCCTCTGGGCCCTGTGACTCACACAGTACGAGTGGGACTGTCTCTGGGCAGCCTGAGGGTAGGTGAAGGTGGGTAGGGGCAGGGCCTGGGCTCTGCAATCTCAAATCAGTGCTCTGTATGTGTGTGTGTGTGTGTGTGTGTGTGTGTGTGTGTGTGTGTGTGACTCACACTTTATTTCCACAGAAACACAGTCAACAAAATACCCACTGTGGTGGATTAAGTAATGGTCAGCCTGTAACCCCCAGCTGAGCTGAGTCGGCGTGGTGCTGGGTGTGGAAGGCCCACCTGAGGACTGTTGCCAACAGAGTAAAAGGAGAACTGGAGGGGAAGATGCTGTGCTGTTGATTCTCCTGGAGAAGCTTCTCAAGCTGGCTCTCTTGATATGAACTCTGCTGTTCTCATCCTCAGGGGAGCTCAAGTCCTTGTTGTTGTTGAGGATGGCTGTGGTTCTTTTCAAGGGAGCTCTGGTCTTTACCTTGAGTGTCGCTTCCTGGCTCCAGTGCAGATCCCTCAGCCTGCCGGCACAGATCCTTCATCCTGCGGGCACAGACTTTCTAGCTTCCACCACTGACCTTGGGGCCTTCCCAGTGCAGATGCGTGAAATAGACCTGCACAAGACGCTGTCATGGGCTCTTGGCCTCCAGTTGGACTCATGGAAGACATTGCCATGGGCTGTCGGTCTTCAGCTGGACTCATGCAGGACGTTGCCGTGGGATCCAGGCCCTCAGCTGCATTCTTTGGGTCTCTAGTGTGTGGGCAGATTTCCTACACTCTTCTGTATTTGACTCTTTGGGGGACTATTATAAAATAATCCTGTAAATGATGTGTCCTGTATTAAATCTACTCCCTTGCAAACCCTGACTACAACACCCACTCTTCTCTTTAGAAGCTTCACAGATCTTGTTCCTTCCCCAACCTTCTACTGAGGACATTCATGGCTGATTCCCACCCCCAAGGACAAAGGAAAACAATGGAAACAAACAGGGAAAGCAAGAGAAGGGAGTCTCCCTGCCTTACCCTCCACCAACGAGCCTGGCTTTCGGGGCAGCTGTCACTATTGCCACTTCAAACTTTTGTTATCTCATCTCTCCAATACTTCAAGTCCTCAGGGCTAGATCTGGGGCATCTTTCTCTGCATCATGAGACAAGATCAAGTAGACAGCCAGTAGGCAGCAAATAACTGGAGAGGAGAACAAAGAAGTATTTTGATGCTTTTAAAATTTGTTTTCCGAGCACGCTGATGATCAGGTAAACACGGTAAGCGCTTGTGAGTGGGCAGAGCCCAAATTATAGAAAACACTCCCTGCGTGCCCCGCGGATGTGCTCCCAGCCTCCTCATTGTTTCCTCCCACCTTAAAACTCGTTTCTTCTCAGCGGTAAGCCTGAAGTAAGAGCCTGAAGATCTTGGGAGTGCGTGCTCTCAAAACAAGTTGTTTTTCATCCGAAAATTGGGGACTTCTGCTTAAAAAAAACAACTACCTGTGGCATAAAGGTGGCAGCGAAGCATGAGCATGTGAGAGGCTTTTCAGGGAGACAGACAGGCCGGTGCAATATCCTCCTGCTGGAGCAGACGTCACCCTAAAATGCACAAGGACCTTTGGGGACAGTGGCCAGGTGGGTGGTTGTCCTCACACACACCGGCAAACAGGGTCTCCCGGCGCAAGTCGCTCGCCCAGGCTTGCTCTTTACTCTACTCTGGTCACCTCCACACTGAGCGCTGGAGCTCCCACCCTGGTTCTAGTCAAATCGTCCTCTTACCTTTTGGCTACCAATTCTACTTCTAGAAACTTCTCTGTCATACCTGGCCATGTCCGGAAAGATACACAGAGGAGGCTGCTCGCTTGCCCCATTGTTTGTCATGGCATAAAACCGGAAGCAACCTACATGTTCACTGGGAGGGCACTGGCAAGTTAACCGTGGTGACCCAGATTATGGGACAATTAATGCCCCTTCAGGATGTGCTCATAGGGGGAGATCTGCAACCCATATGCTGGCTGAAAAAAGTTAATTAGGTGCAGAGCAGTGTGTGACTGTATCATCCCTGTTCTCTTTGGGACCAGACCTGAAGGTAAGAATTTGGATGCAAATCCCAACTCGAGAGGTGACCCAGGAAGCACACTGAGGTGAGGCGGACGAGAAGGCAGGAACGGCTGTGTGGACCAGCAGTTTATCACAGGAGGCAGCCTGGGCTCAGTCCCAGGGAGCTCTCTGAGGGACCTCGTGGAGCACACAACCCAGAATCATGCCACCGAGGAACAAGCTGGGGTATTTATCCACCAATGCCTGGCCGTCGCTAGAGGGGTCTTCATTTCCTGGCCTTTCTGGCTGACCCTCAGAGTGAGCAGGCACGCTGCTCAGCCAGAGAGGGGCCTCCTATAGATAGATACAGGAAGAGGTAGACTTTGAGTGGGAGGTCTGCGGGTGCCTCGAGCTGGGTGGAGGTGACCCAGGGGATCTGGGTGGAGTGCCACACCATCTGTGGTGGGCCCATTTGCATGAGTAAAAATTCTTTTTAAAGTATATCTAGCATTAAGTGGGTACGGGTGGCACCCACCTGCAATCCCAGAGCTCGGGAGGCTGAAGCAGGAGGATCATGAGCTGCAGTCCCATCTGGGCAACTTAGTGAAATCTTGTCTCAAAATAAAGTAAAAAGGGCTGGGGATGTGGGCTCAGCGGTAGAGCATTTCCCAGCATGTGTGAGGCCCTGGCTTCAATCCTCAGCACCAAAACCCAGAACAAAGCGATACATAGATATTATAAGATGTTTTGGAAAATCCTAGGGATGTGGGCCTAGAGGGCTGGGGGTTGTTGGAGAGAGAGGTACTTCGCACCTTCAACCCTTTACCTTGTTTGCATTTTAGAAAGCATTTCCCTGCATGATGTGGAGAAGCTGCTTACTCTTTTCCAGGGTGTTCTCTCTGTAGCTACTGAAGCTCCCGCTCAGGGGCTCTGCCCTTCTTCACTGTCTTCCTAGGACCAAACTTCAAGTCCTTTCGAGGACTGTGCACCAGGCACCCAGCCCAGTATAATTCCCTTAGCTGTGCCATCCAAGCCGAGCCCTGTGACAATGCTGAAAATGGGGAAACTGAGGCTGGAGAACCTAAAGAAACCGAGTCAGTGTCATAGGATGAGAGAGT